TCTTAATTAATATATATTGTAATTATTTTTTAAAATAAGGATAAAATAAAAATAAACACATTAAATAATATCTTAAAAAAGAAAATAAACAATTAAATTTAAAAACCTCAAATAAAATTTCAATAGAGTTCTTAACCCAATGCACAAATTAACTAAAGCATTTCAAAATCAATTGTTACATGGAGAATTGTTATTCTTACACAAAATACTATAAGTGTTTAGCTTGTCTAATTTTATTAGTCAATGATTACTAAAATGTTTCAATTCATAAATTAATTTCAAACTATTAAATAATAAATTTAATTGTTACAGTTAACAAACTCTAATAGACTCAATGGTTAAGAGTTTGAAATTTCAAATTGAAAATCTCAATTCGGACTTTGAGTCAAGTGGAGAGGGATTTAGGAAAAAAGAAGAGTTATTCCCTCTTATATACCCCATTTAGGTGTATCAAAAAAAAAAAAAAAATTGTTACAGTTAACAAACCAAGTATAGCTAACAGTTAAAACTATCAGCTGCTTTTAACAATCAAATCAAATACATTTATATTATTTTTATATGGCTTTAACAATTCTTTGTGTGACCATAACAATTGCCTTCAAAATCGCAATACAGAATAGAACAAAACAGAACACCCATATCAAAATCACAATGCTATTAAGTCCACCAAATATGCTAGCACTCACATTAGAGTAAGCCAGTCTCACTCACCCTACAGCCAGAGGTGAGGTCCACTATAACTCTGAAAGATCCACTGAATACCACGAACCAAGCTATTGTCCACACTATTAATAGGAATTAAGTCCCCCGAAATTAGTATAGTTCACAACAAATAATCACTTGCCTTTTCACATATTAAATTGTAGTTCATATATCTACATGCATTGATTTTTCTAGATATGCACATAAAGTTCTGTCATACTCGGTAATATCCACACAAATTCAGACTAAGCTCGTGAAGTTTCCAGGCAAGGAAACCACAACTAGTTTTGTAGTCAACTCAAGCTATAGGTTCATTACAACTCAGGTACATGCATTCTAACTTAGGAATGCAAATTCGATACAAGCAACTCAATAAAATTAATTACAAGCAAAGTTGACTCAATATATGCACTGAAAATACCCACTGATGGAAAATCCCAATCAGACAAGCATGCTGATTCGTATTATCAATTTAACCCAAATTCCTACCTATTTCAGCTAAGTAATATTTGCAGCACAGGGCATGCCAGTTTTCAAGTAATTACCTTTATCGAGGCTCCAACACTGAGTAGCTAAGTTGATTGGGTGAAGAAGATTCAGGCTTGCTGGACAAAGGAATTGTTTTGAGTGATTTCTTGCCAAAAAGGAAACCAGGTTCTTTGGGTATTGCCAGTGCAGTCCCACCACCCAGCATTAAAACCACAGATGACATACTAGGCCTATCCTCAGGATATTGTTGAACACATAAGAGACCAATGTGGATGCACCTTAATACTTCTGATAGAGTGCAAGATTCTTGTACAAATGAATCAATCAGTTCTGAAGCATTTCCTTCTTTCCACAGTCTCCAAGCCTAAATACAAATTTTAACTATCTGTCATTTTCTAGTTCCAGGAAGGTAAGGATGTAGCTCTTGAATCTTGATACTTACATGTCCAATAAGGTTAAGGTTATCGTTAAGATGGTAAAACCCTTTATTCTTCTTCCCACTTATTATCTCCAACAACAATATGCCAAAGCTGAAAACATCAGATTTTATTGAGAAGTTCCCATCAATGGCATATTCTGGTGCCATATAACCACTGAAAAAAACAATTAGGACGAATTATATCACTGTGGATTTTGTATTAATTTAGGTAGTATAGAGACAGGGCTTACTAGGTTCCAACTACTCTCTTTGTGTTCCCCTCAGATTGTTCTCCAAATGCTCTAGCCATGCCGAAGTCAGAAATTTTGGGATTCATTTCGCTATCAAGCAAAATATTGCTTGCTTTGAGATCTCTATGGATGATCCGCAATCGAGAATCTTCATGTAGATAGACAAGCCCTTTAGCAATTCCACAAATAATGTGAAAACACTTTGGCCAGTCTAATAGACTCCTCCTTGTATGGTCTGTCACATAACATGTTCATCATATAAATGTAGTGTTTCAACTAGAGTTTTTGAAAAAGAGTTGCATTGAAATAAGGAAAAAAATTGTAATGAATTTATATACTTCCATAGAGTTAATTGAATGGGTTAAGAGAAATCCAGACCAAAAATGAAGTAGTCCAAACTTTTATTGGGCATATACTCGTAAATCAGCATTTTCTCCTCCCCTTGAATGCAGCATCCTAGAAGCTTTACAAAATTTCGATGTTGAAGTTTGGCTATAAGTGCTACTTCATTCTTAAATTCAACTAATCCTTGTCCAGAGCTTCTTGAGAGCCTCTTCACAGCAATTTCTTTTCCATCTGGTAGAGTACCCTGGAAAAGTGTACTTGTAAAGTTGATTATTACTTTTCGACAAAGGCTTCTAATCCTAATAATTATTTTTCCTAGAGCATTTAAAATTTACCTTGTACACAGGCCCAAAGCCACCTTCTCCAAGCTTGTTGTTTGAAGAAAAGTTATTGGTGGCATTTGATATTAAATCTAACTCAAACAATGGGAACTCCATATCTTCAATTTGTCTTTCATCACTGCAGCCATTCTCTCTTCCTGAAAGGGTGAAGAATTTACCAAAATCAAACGGTGAGGAAAGAACCAATAAAAGTTTCTTTCAATATTTAATGGCAACATGATTTGTTAAGTCAAAGAAACAAACCTTGTATGTTCCGATGGCTCCTTCTAATGTAGTAGGTGATTACAAGAACACGAGTAACTACAAGAATGGCAGCTGCAATTATTAGTCCTGCCATCAAGTTAGTCTTTCCTTTTGTCTCTGTGTGGTCTAATTCAATAAAGCAAAGGAGAAATAAATGAATTAGTATTGTAGCAATGAAATAGTTTCACAAATTAACTGAAAATAGAACTGGAAACACCTGGCATAAATAGGAATCATAACAAAACTTCAAGAAATACTGAAATATCTAACCCAATACCCGAATCAGAAGCAGCCATTCGAATGTATAAATCCTGCCCAGCAGATTGGACCTGTTTAAGATCAATTAGATCATAAAACCAAATTGCACAACCGCTGGTCTCTTTAATATCCAAGGTTGTATAGGCCATACAAGAACAATTCTCTAAGCATTTAGCCCTGCACGCATTGAGGTTCATACTTTTATTCACCCAAGAATGTGCAGTATCCGGTAGTTTCAGCCCACCAAATTTGATAAATCCATCACCTTTATGGCAATCTAAAGGTTTATTGCGCACACATCCCTGAAACCAATCCATTGAGCCTTCTTCTTGTGATTTCAGCTTGAAACCTTTTAAACATTGACAAGGCGGTAGTGCTGTATTGACACAGGTCCCATATGCCCCACAAGTCCCATAGGTATCACAGTCATCCCATGGAAAATGGCTGTACTCTATCCAAGTCTGAGTGTCTTCTTTCCACAAATAGCGTTCCCCCCTACTGGTAGTTTGGTTCACAATAAGCCTTGTGATTGCTGATTTGTTTTTGAGGTAAAAAATGAAGTAAACCTCCTCTTCATTTGAGACTAAGTTGAATGTAAACCATGGATTTGGCTTCAATTGGGGTGCACCACTCATTCCAATGCCATTCCAGGGGCCTGTCCGATAGTATCTTCTCGAGCCTTTCCAAATAACAGCATCAGGATTATTATATGGCTCTACCCCATAAATTAAGTCTCCTGGGCATGGATCATCTGGGGACTTCCATGCCGATATTTGTCGATTAAGACCAGTCCTTAAGTCCCATCCAAGTTTCATCCCTGGCAGCAAAGTATCAGTAGGATGGTCAAAGCTTTGCCACAAAATTATATCTGATTTACCAGGAGTTCTATCCTGTAGAAGAAGATTTCCAGAATCCAGGAGCTGAACTACAGGGTTTTGAGCTTCTTTCTTTGAGTTTGATGCCCAGACAACACTCCCGCTGCTCTGATTGAGGAGTACCAGATTGCCTGTGCTGTTTATCATCAAAACACCAGACGTGTCATTAATTGGGTCACACCTGTTTGCAACCCAAACAACAGTTGGAACTGGGATATTCTTGTACCAAATTCCCAAGTAACGGCTCTTGGCAGAGCTTCCAGGACTGAAGAACCCCAGTTCAAAGCTTCCATCACTAGAAACCAAGGTTCTACCATCACTAAGATTGGTGGATGAGGTGATGATATCAGCTCCACATGAGAATCTAGTGAAGAAAAACAGTAAGAGGATGATGACAATAAAGTTTAAAAAAGGAATGTTCATTTCTTTGCAAGTTTTAATGAATAAAAAAATAAAAACTTTATAGTGGCAGCTTAGAAGAACACTAGTCTTGAATGTTGACTAGTGTGCAAACCTCCCAATTTCTGACAACAGCTCTCTCTTTCTAGCAGTCCCCACCACCATGGAAAAATAGAGTAGTTAGGCATTAATTTCTATGGGAACTAATATTAGCAAGAAAAGAAATAGAAAACTACAGGGTAAAATACAAAGACTAAACAAGTCAAGAACACCTCATTCCCAGCTTTCCTTTTATCAAGGACTTGCAATAATAGAAGCATGTCTTGTGGAATGGGTTCTTTGACTTGTATGCTTTCTTGGCTTCTTCACCTAAACCAGAATTGTTGTTATCTCCACTGACGTCAACAAAATTGCATCACTGTGCATGTATCCTAGTCATTTGATCCATGAAATGGGGCTAGATAATTATCTCCAATTTTCCTCCACTTTCTCAGTCACCAAACAGAGAGGACATACAATTACAATGCAATTTTGATCTCATATTCCTGGTCAATATGGATCATGACTTCACCATCCCCAAATACCGTGCCACAAATCCTAACCTTTGAAAAGCCAGCACAAAAATGAATGGTTGAGTATTTAGCAAATAGAAAAATTTAATCAAAAAAATCAAATGGCGAGAAAAGAACTGATGGAAGTTGCTAACAATATTTAATGGCAACATGATTGTCTCTGCTATTTATCATCAAAAGACCGGATGAGTCATTTATCGTGTTACACATGTTTTCTATCTTGATAAATATTAATTTAAGATGACACTCTTAAACTCATAGAACTAACTTATTAAGTTCATGATTCTCTAAATCTATATTCTACTTATTATCATCACATTTTATTTGATGTGAGATCCTATCATAACTATTTACCAAGTGAACCTTTATCATGGCAGTTTAACTACAGTATACATCTCAAAATGTATGAGGTGTTGACGAGCATGCGAGTCTTCCTTGATATATTGATAACAACATTTCTTTGTTTTCTAGCTTCTTGATTAATTGGGAGCCATGGGCAGTCCCAACTACCCTCCAAAATACTGTAGTTAGGCATTAATTTCTGCAAGAACATGATTGATTTCTAGTGTAGAGATAATAATAAGATTGAAATAGAAAGAAAATATTTTTTTAAAAAACAAAAAATAATTAATGTAAAATAAATTTTTACTAAAAATAGACACTTATTTTAAAATTAAAAGTGTAGAATAAGCTCTACTCAACAACACTTTATGCTTTTTTTAACATGACATCTAACATAGACTTTGAGTTGAATTGAAGAAAATGGCACTTAGTTACTTAACAACGAAAACAGGACCAGTCTTGCAATTTTACAACCTCATTTTCCCCCACCACCATATTTAATTGGTTATTAAATTAGTTTGGAATATTCAACTATAGAAGTAGAAATTAGTTCCACTTACCTATTTAGAATATCCAACCATAGAAGACTAGAAAATTGAAATAATAGTTAAGGTATATGGCATGCATTCCTAAACAACACTTAGCAACTTGTGTAGCACAAGGCAAGTAGTTTTCGAGAAACCATTATCATGGATCCAACACTGAGAGGCTAAGTTCATTGGTTGAAGATAATTCAGGTTTGCTAGATGAAGAATTTGTTTCAAGTGATTTCTTGTCAATAAGGAAACCTGGTTCTTTGGGTTATTCTAGGGCTATCTCACTACTAAGCATCAAAACCACATATAACATCCTTAGCCTGTCCTCAAGGTGTTTTTGAACACATAAGAGACTAATGTGGATGCATCTTAATACTTCAGACAGAGTGCAAGACTCTTGTAAAAATGAATCAATCAGTTCCAAAGGATTTCCTTCTTTCCACAATCTCCATGCCTAAATAAAAATTAAAAACTGTCGATCATTTTTCAGGTCAAGGAAGGAAGGAAGGTATGTTTTGAAGCTTGATACTTACATGTCCAACGAGGTTAAGGCCATGCTTGAGATGGTTAAACCCTCTATTCTTCTTCCCACTTATCATCTCCAACAATGGTACACTGAAGCTGTAAACATCAGATTTTACTGAGAATTGCCCATAAATGGCATATTTTGGTGCCATATAACCACTGGAAAAAAACAATTATGATAAATTATATCAGCAGGGATTTTTCGTAAAATAGGGAGTATAAAGATAGTTTTTTAACTTACTAGGTTCCAACCACTTTCTTTGTGCTTCCCTCAGACTGTTTTCCAAGTGTTCTAATAGTTTAACTTACTAGGTTCAACCAATCTTTGCACTTCCCTCAGACTGTTCTCCAAGTGTTCTAACCATGCCGAAGTCAGAAATTTTGGGGTTCATTTCACTATCAAGCAAAACATTGCTTGCTTTGAGATCTCTATGCATGATCCTCAATTGAGAATCTTCATGTAGATAGACAAGTCCTTCAGCAATTCCACAAATAATGTTAAAATGCCGTGACCAGTCCAATAATTTCCTTCTTGTATCATCTGTCATGAAACATGATCTTCATATTAATGTAGTCTTCAACTAGAGTTTTTGAAACAGATAGTTGCATTGAAATATGGAAACAAATTGCATT